CTAAATACTTTTTTTTTTTTTTTATTGCCTGTATTAAGTCTTCGTTGAAATTTTGAGAAAATGATCTAGTCTTACACCATTTAACCCAAATGTCAAGAGAACACACAAGTTTAATCCCCATTTTGTGTTTCTAATTACCCCAACTATAAAAGTGAGACACAAGTTTATTATTTTGCGTATTTAGTTTCCCCAACCATGAAGGTAAGACACTAATTCTTATTTTGTATTTTTAATTGACTCAAGCATAAAAACAATAAAAGAAAACGATTGAATCTAATTTTTATTTCGTGTTTTCATGGGAGTTATTGGGCGTTAAAAAACAAAGTATTGTTGTAAGTTGCGACGTCTAATGACCGTTTCTATAAACGAACATCATAAAAAACTGTTACATGTGGCGGCATCTACCGTTTATTTAAGAAATAAAGAATAAAGGCTGATAAGTCCTGAAAAAGGGCTGTTCTAACTCTGAAAACATATGCTTGATGAATTTTTATATTCCTTTGTTATTACTATTTGTGTCTTTGATGAAAAGAATTTTTTCCCTTTACTTTGAAATTTCTATAAATATACTTATTTAATAAAATCAGACACGAACTTACACGGTCTCATGGTGCACTTGCGTTTCTTCTTCGGGCGCAAAGCGTGGTTACATCTTTTTCTTGAGATTCTTTTACCTTCCAGGTTATGACACGGAACTCGACGTCTTTGTTTTCCCACTCCACAAGATACCGGACACTGAAATTCACCACCCAGTAATATTTAACCTACAATCATACACAGCTTAACAGCGTTGCACATTATTTCTTCAGCACTTCTTATTAAATTAACGTATACATTCATGGTTAGTAAATATAGAGGGCAAGGTTCTCGATCAAGCGGTAAGCCTAGTTCAATCCACAATCTGTACATTGTTTGTGCAAAGAAAGAGGTCAAATCTGAATATGAAAGTCTTAAGTATATGAATGCCCTAGAATTAGCAGCGAAATATTGGGGATGACCTCATATTATACCAATAACAGAGAAAAATTAGAAAAAAAACGTATTACGCCATTAACGGAAAAAAAAATCTCGTATCAAATCACTAGAAACAAAAAATTTAAAATCAACTTCATATTACACCACTAGACAAAATTTTAATATTGACCTCATCACTGGAAACAAAATTTTAAAATCGACTTCACATTACACCACCAGTAGTTAAAATTTAGGAACGATATTGTTGCGTCAGCGAGGTCACGTGACTAGTATCACGCCACGTCCTTCTCTCGAACCTTCGTGAATTATTGGGAGACTACTAGGTTGGGGGTAGCCTGGTATATATAAGATGGTCACAACGTGACGGAATAATGAGTAATTGAACTGCAGTCAGTGAATGTGTAATTGAACTAAGTATTGTTGGAGTTGAGCACGTACGTTGAGAATTATAGCGTGACTGTTGAAATTAAGTGTATCGCAAAGCTATATTCAGAAAAATAAACCAGTTTTAATAAAC